TCCACTCACCTCAGCCTCCCAAAGGCGCGGGATTACAGGCTGAGCCACCGAGCCCGGCTTAAAAAATAATTTTTAAATTAAAAAAAATAACAGCCAAAGGTTTTAGATCCAGGAAACATAACTTAAGGGAACTCATCTGAGAAAAGGAACAAAACAAAGCAATGAAACGAGAAATGAAAGAGTGGAAGTTTTAATGAAACCAATGGCCATGGCCTGCTTTCTTTCTTCTGCTGCAGGTGCTTACCAAGCAGCAGCAGGCTGTGATCAGGGACCAACATAACACCAAGTCCAGCAGGATTTTAGCCCTGGGGGCAAATGCTGCAAAGCTACAAAAATTACAGACAGCTGACGCCTACAGAACATGGGCACGTAATTGTGATATGACTCCAGGACCTATGAGTTCAGGTAAAAATTGTAAGAGTTTTATAGTGAATGTCAACAAGAAATCAGCAATTAATGATCATTTCCTAACATGACACAGAATTTTGTAGGACACTTTACCTTTTCTTCTGGACATGGAGTTATCCATGATTTGCATTTGCCCGTCATGTCACCAAGGGTAGTGTGTCTGCCATTATAGACATAAACTCGGCCATCTTCTCCCCCAATCAGTCCAGAGGTTACATCTGCTATCCTCAGCGGGGCTGCCATGATGATTTCATCTGTAAACATAAAAGCCAGCAGAAGGAAGTCTCTGTCATCTTTTCCTCATTCCACTACTGGATCCTAACTCAACCTCCTGCAGATCATATTAGCACCTCCTTGAAACAGTCTGCCTTGATTTCATCCTGGCAAAGTCGAAGGCTTTTATTTCCTGTTTCATGATTCATCAATAACAATTACCATGAATGACGCTCATGCTGCCACCTTCAAGACATCCAACTCCCTCTTGTACATCAGGCTCTGGTCTTACCTGATTCAAAATCTGTCTAAAGGCTCTTGGGCCACTGGGCTGTTAATTATGAGGGCAGAGCCTCGAGGATCCAATTAGGGGACTGGTCCATTGGGTAAAGGGACTCAATTCTTGGCAAAAGGTTCTGCTCCTTTCTCACCCAAGCCATCATTATCCAAGTCACTCAAGTGCAGAACACCACCAAACCGTGAGAAGCGGCGGTCTCCACTGAAGGTGCTGAGCAGCGGAGGCTGCGCATCAGATGTGAGTGCATACATTCGGGTGGTTCCACCCTGGTGCAAGGTCATGGTCAGGAACGCCATCTTAGACACATCATCTGAAATGAACCACAGTGCCTGCTGGCATCACAAGAGTGAAGCTAAGATACAGAACACAAAATAGAATACCATTCTTGCATCGTGCTTGCATACCTCAAGTGATGCCAATCAGTCAACCCTACAGGACAATCGATCTCAGTGCTGGTCAACTCTGGCAGTGAGGGAGACATAACTAGCTTGAGCACCAAGACACAAACATTGGAGATGCTCAGTGATTTCCCACCACACAAGTGTTTCTTCTTCCAGGCTTACCCCCTCCAGTACCTCCTCCACACAACCATCTTTTTATTTTCTTACATCAAAAATTGCCTATGTCACTCTTCTGACTTACACATCCAAATGGAAGTGGACTATGGATGGAGTCCAAACTCTTCCCAAGGCCTTACGTAATCTGACTCCCACACAGGGCTCTAGTGCTACTTCCCTCTTTCACCCATAATGACCCTAAACCACCGCCTATTCTATTGTGAAAATCTGGGCCTTAGGACAGAATGTTCTCTCTGTCTGGAATAGACACCATTCGCTCCCCTGATTCCTGCTTATCCTTCAGAACTGGGCTTAGGTGTTCCCTCCTCAGGGAAGCCTTTCTTGACCTCGCTGGTCTAGAGTAGACACCACTTTCTCATGCTCCTGTACCACACTGTGCCCAGTGCCTTCCTGGTACCCACTACCAGGCAGCATCACTTCCTGTCACTTCTGTGTCTCCTGCATCAGGCTGTCATTCCATAAGCAATGGGGTCATGTTTCTGTCTTTCTATCCACTGCACCCTAGCATGGTGCTTC